GTCCAGGGCGCGTCGTTCACATGGAACTACGTCGCTCATGAAAGAAGGGTGTCGATGCGTATAAGTAATTCTGGTAGCGCCGAGGAAGGCAGATACTGTCGCATACGAAACAAAAGGCGCTCTCGAATGCGAGAAGACGCGCTGTCGCACATGGGAAAGAGAGCACCGTCACGCATGATAGAGTGGGGCGATGTCACCATGGAAAAGGAATCGTCGCGTACGGGAAGAAAGCTTCATCGCATATAAGGAAGGAATACCATCGCACATGAGCGAGAAACGTAAGAAGCGATGTGAAAGGCGCCGTCGTGCACGATAGAGGAGGTGCCAATGTGCATGAGAAAGGCGTCATTGCATTGGGTGCGACGCCATAGCGAGAGAAAGAAGACGCGGTGTGCGTGAAATGCAAATGAGATAGGTGTTGTTCAAGCCCGGAACGGGATGTAGCGCAAGCACTACATATTAAATGGCAGCATGCAGACAAAGAGTGCATGGGCACCCAGCAAATGAACTGCAATGTGAAAAAGAGAGGAAAAGGGCACGGTCAAGGAAGGTAACAGTGTGCACGACGGAAGGAACATGAAAAGACAAGGAAAGAGAAGGTGGTCAAGGATACCGTTGAGGGAAATCCTAGCTATCGCACGGAAAGCGCTCGGGCAAAAAGTGGAGTGGCGAAGACAAAACAATGAACGTGGCTCGGCACTGTGCGCAACGGTGTGTGCGCGACAGCTTAAAGCCGCGAGCGTGATTACGCGAGGTCCACGAGAATGAAGAAGCGAAGACAGAAAGGAAGGGAAAGGATGCTATGAGAACAAGGGTGCATGTAGCGTGCCTTGTCGTGCCGCCTAATGGGCAGAAGAATATGTGTGTATTTGTGATGCGAAGGTAAAATGCCCAGCATCGTGGATGACGATGCAGTGGACGTGGGAAAAAGATACGAGGAGCGTACCGGAGACTGGATGACCCCATGTCTCTGCTTCGCGTTGCCTCTCCGCTGAGTTGCGAGCCGTCCATCGCGGAAGGGGATGTTCGTATAGGTGGACTGAGTAACGGAGATGGTAGTGTTATCTTGTGCAACGAACAGAATACGCCTCTGCCGCGAAAACGCGGTAGAAACGCGAGGGAGGAGTGTCGGCTAGACACGTTTTGTAAACGATGAAGTCGAAACGAGCCAGCAGAGGGTCCTGAAAGGGATGTGGAAGCCCTGTAGCAAAGTCGGAGACCAAAAAACAAAAAAGAAGCTTGGAGGACGATAGAAAAGGCGTGAAGCGCGTTTCTGAGGACGCGGCGGGAGCCTATCAGCAAAATGACAACACCTTTTCCCAGCGCTTTTCGCACCTTTTGCAACTTTTCCCTTTTTGCCGTCTTTTCTAACAACTTTGTGTAGGCCTTTTTGTGTTTCAACGACTTCTGGTCCTTTTTGTCTTTTGTAGGAAGATATAATAAGGCGTAAAATTATTTGATGGTGAACTGACAGTGTTAATAGCCGCACACGGAGCGAATATGACTTGGTACACTGTCCGGTCTGTGACGAGCAACGCGTTAGCGATGTTGCGCGATGTGTGGCGCCGTGGTACCAACACTACTCAAGGCTTTTTGCGGCACTTCAACCAGAGTTCAGGCTCTATTGAAGATAGCACGAGGAATCGACGCGCCAGACGCGTTACAGTGGCGGCCGAGTGGCAAAACGAATGGACGACCTTTGACGAGTCGCGAAACACTAAGTCCAGCCATCAGCACGTGCCTTGGTCCGTGCGATGTTGATCATCTGATGGAAGTCAACGGTGTCCTTTGCTCTCGACCACCACTCTCCGTCCTCCCTTCCTCTGTCCTCCATTCCTTCCTCCGCCTTCCTCTCCGTGCTGCCTCCTCCGGCCTCAAATATCTCAAATCCTCCTCTAAGCTCAAATCACTCTTGCTCAAACCCCAAGCCACCTCGAAAGATAGATGACCGCCTCATAAACCATGCAATCTCTGCTTCTCCATCCTCAAGTCTTTCAACCCCTCAAACTGAATATCCCTCAAACTCTCAGTCTCCCCTTCTCAACGCACACGTCAAGATTCGGGATACGTCGAGACCCATTCAAGTGTACAAGCTTCAAGCTCTTCAAGATTCCTCAAGACGACCGGGGTTTTACAAGCTGTTTTAGCTCACACGTCACACTTCATGCATCCCCCGGTGCTGTCCTCAGGTCTCCCAACGTCGATATGAGTATTCCCTCCCCGAGAAATGATGGTGCGTTGGCATTTGTTCGCTCTGCCCTCTGCACCGAGTGTACTCTCCTCAAATAGCCCCGTACACCCACCTCTGAGCACCTCCCTCCCCTTCCTCTTCGTCCATGGTCAAGCTTCAATTTCCCCAAATTCCTGCATCCCTACATCCCCTGCCAGCCACGGAGTGTCGATACAACAGGTGCGTCGTTATTTAATAAAAGCTTTCCTCCTGACGCTGATTCTTCTGTCCATAGTCTCGCACACTCCTCACCCACGGCGCGGAGATATTGCACTGTGGGCGACACGAGAAGGCCCACGTACCGGACCGTGCTGGCTGCCCGAGCGCTCTCAAATTGCGCCGCCTACCCTCGCATGAGGATCCACGCGCCGTGTTCTTTGCACGACATCACGCGCCGTTCTACTACCTTCAATGCTGGTGCATATTCCTCATTCAGATCCCATCTTCGTCTCGCGCCCGTCCTCCAGTGTAGTAGTTGACTGTATTAACGTGCAATAAATTCAATTTTACTACCAAAAAGCACCTTTTGAGTCGTCTTCTAATAGTCCTATTATAGCTTTTCCAACGGCTTTTCAAGCTCTTTTGCCCTTTTAAAAGCTAAGGGGCTTGGCCTAAAAAAGGAGAAAGTCCTTTTCGGCTTTTTCATCTTCTGGTCCTTTTAAAAGTCAAAAAAGCTGCCAAAAGACAATTTGACATTTTGCTGATGTCAGCAGAGGAAAGGAGTGGCTGTGTAGATCTGATGTGTCTGATCTAAACAGCCGCGCGAACACAAATCCTGTCTACGCACTATACTACCTTGCCTGAGCTAGCAAATAGTCTATTTATAATCTGGTTTCGGGTGCAAAGTTCTAGCAGATTTGAGATCATCCGCCAACGCGATACAAAATCCGTTCAATGCCCACGAAAAGAAGAGAAGTAAAGGAATTGTGTGGGAACGGACAATGCCCTCGGGGGGAATCGAACCCCCGCTGCCCACGTACACAGTTCTTGGTGATGAATGAAGGTGGGTGATCACCGAGGTCCGAAATCCACGAGGGCTTATTGCACTCAATACTTATATCTTTTGCATTTTTGAGGAAGATCGCTGGCGCGGCAGCGAGGGCAGACATAATTCGGTTTTTTTTTCTGTAGTTCAGCCAACCTCTTAGATGGAGAGACAAAGTGGGTGTGGTGTATGGTACACTGCTGTCTTGAATTTCGCAACAGTTAAGCTCTAACAACACAACCGGGTTCGATTCTCGGCATCCGTATGAGGGACACTCATTAGTCTTTTTTCCACCTTTTTTATTCGGTGTCTTTTTCTCCTGCGAATTTAATGGAAGGGCTTTTGTGTACTTCCCAGCTGGCAGTTGATCAACCTTGGGATATGAGATTTTACTGTAAGGAACTGTTGAAATTCAAGTACCATTTGGGGATTTGGCGTGCAAATAGGCTCCGACATTCGGGCTTTTTTCTGTAGTTTAGCCAAGGTCCAACCAAGGTCATAGAGGGACAAAGTGGATGTAGTGTATGGTACACAACTATGATTTCTCCACAAGTTTGATGCAGTAGACCCGGGTTTGATTCCTGGCACCCGCATTCGCAGATAGCACCTCTTTTTTGTTATATATAAAAAAATGGTCCCCACTCTCCCGCGCCCTCGATTCGATTTATCCAGCCAATTTAACCAGCATGGTATGGAGCAGTTTAAAGAAACGGTTCAAAATTGACAAAATAACATCAAGTTGATCTGGGCAGACTGAGATCCAATTTGTGTAGTTTAGCTAGCCTCGTATATGAACCGGAAATGTGGGTGTGGTGTATGGTACACAGCTGTCACCACTGACATGAGCCACTCATTCAATCTGATGCAGCACAACTGGTTCGAATCCCGGCACCCGCATAGAGTGGGGCTCATTTCTTCATCCTTTTTGCTTTTTGGTTCCGGCCCTCTGTTCAGCAGCCATGGTTATGGAAAAGGGCTCTTATATGCTAGAGGATGTTCGAGAATGTATTGAAATTGGGTTGAAATTGGACGAAATAATTTGGGTTGTGTGTCATGTGGCAGATTGAGGCTAAGAATAATTGTATAGTTTAGCCAAGTTCGTAGATTGAGAAGAAATGTTGGTGTGGTGTATGGAACACCGCTGCTGTAAATCGCCCCAAATGAATACGGGTTCCAATTTATGCAGCAGACCTGGGTTCGATTCCTGGCACCCGCATTTGCCGATAGCACCTCCTTTTTTTCTTTTCTTCTTTGCTCCCTGCCTCTGCTCAGCCTTTCAATTTATGGCAATTCAGTCTAGGGTTTCAGCAGGCCATGGAGGGCTCTCCAATGTTGTAATGTGCCATGTTCGAGACATTTGGAATCAGACAAAATAAATTGGAGTGTGAGGCAGACACAAACTCGGAATAATTCGGTCTTTTCTTATGTGGTCTAGCCAACCCGCAGTTAGGCCAAGAAAGTGGGTGTGGTGTATGGAACACAGCTGTTGTGATTACGCTGAGAGTGTATACAATCGGGTTCGATTCCTGGCATCCGCATTTGCAAAAAAAGACCTCATTGTTTTTTTGGTTGCCCTCTGTTCACAGCCAATTCAACCAAGATTTTACAGGAGGTTATGGAGGTGCGCTTCGATCGGATGCTGGAGGATGTTTGAGAGAGTGTTGGCATTGGAATTGGAATCCAAGTTGGACGGAATAATTTGGATTGGGAGGGTGGACTTCAACTCGGAATAATATTCCCATTTTCTGTGTATGCCTTATTCAAGTTCGTAGGCAGGGAGAGAAAGTGGGTGTGGTGTATGGAACACAGCTGCTGTGCTTAAGCGACTGCGCACTTTGTGTAGCAGACCCGGGTTCGATTCCCGGCACCCACATGGCGAGCAAATTCCTCTGTTTTTTTTTGGTGGGGGGAGGGGAGAGGGGCAGGGGGGTTCCCACTCTCCACTCTCCACTTTTTCTGCTCAGCAGCCCATTATCAATACTTTTCAGCAGGCTATAGAGAACTCTTCTACGCTTGTACGCTTGAGAGATGTCATATTCTAGAGGGCATTGAATTCCAGTAGGATTTGGACAAATTGCGAGGGCAGACTCGGACTCGGAATAATATTCCCATTTTCTGTGTATGCCTTACCCGACTTCGTAGATGGAGAGATAAAGCAGGTGTGGTGTATAGCACATGGTTGTAACCATTATGACTTCTCTATCAATTTGATAAGCAACTACCAACTTTGTGTAGCAGAACCGGGTTTGATTCCCGGCACCCGCATACGGGAATATATCCTCATTTTTTATTTTTTATTTGCCGCCCTCTGTTCACAGCCAATTCAACCAAGACTTTCCAGGAGGTCATGGAGGTGCGCCTCGATCGGATGCTGGAGGATGTTTGAGAGGGCGCGCGGCGTTGAAATTGGATTTGGAATCAGAGAAAATAATTTGCGAAGGCGGACACCAACTCGGAATAATATTCCCATTTCTGTGTATGCCTTAGCCAAGTTCGTAGATAGGCAGAGAAAGCGGGTGTGGTGTATGGTACACAGTTGTCACCACTGGGAAGAGAAATTCAATCTGATGCAGCAGACCCGGGTTCGATTCCCCGTACCCATATATATTTGTAGCTTGTGTGTAACCTTTTTTTTCCCCTCCTTTTATCTTTTTGCTCCCTGCCCTCTGGTCAGCAGCCAATTCAGTCTATGGTTTTCAGCAGCTCTTGGATGTTGTAATGTGCCATGCTCGAGACATTTGGAATCAGACAAAATAAATTGGAGTGTGAGGCAGACTCAACTCTAATTTCGTGTATACCTTACTCAAGTTCGTAGATAGACAAGACATGCGGGTGTGGTGTATGGAACACAGCTATGTTCATTGGCGTCGTGGAAAGTTTCGCATTGGTTAAGCCGGGTTCGAATCCCGGCACTCGCATTGCCGTTGTCTGACCTTTTTCTCAAACCGTATAGTACATTACATTTTTTTTCTGGAGCTTGGGGGGATGGAGGGAATTTTGATACTTGATACTTTGACATCATGAGACTCTGACTTTGATTCTAGACATCAGCGAACCAATAGGCGTGGGTGGATCGAAGGCGCGCGGCGAGAAGATGTGGCAAAGAACGTGCCCTATTCTGCTGTTCATCAATCCAACTGTCTGCCAAAAAAAAGAGCTTGAGAATATATGAGCCGGAAATACAAACCACAGAAGATCAAGGACGCGGAAAGGATCCGTTAGATGGTGGTATGAATAAATGAATTAATTATACGGCATTCCGCCAATGATCAGGCTCCGAGACCAGGACCGAAGACCATAGCGGGAGTATTCTCCATGTGAGTCGCGATGCCCCAGATGGGTGATACTGGGCCTTGTCACGGTCTGTGTGACTTGTGACGTGACGCCCCACTGCTCGCTCGCTCACTGGTCTCTTGTGTGTATGGAGACAGGGAACGACTCGCCGCCTCTGCGCACAACAATCCTCGGCTCCTTCCTCGGCCGCGGCCGTCCCCGCAACTCTTCCCAATCACACATCGACATCCCCCGCGAGCTCTCCCCGTCTCCGCCTCATCCCCACGCAAACGCAAACGCACAACCCGCCTCACCGAATCCGTATACCATGATTGTACAAGGTGGAGGCGGCCCCGGCGGAGGCGCACCAGGACGGAGTCACAGGGGGCGCGCCGCGCCGTCCCCAACGACGAATCCGCCATCCGCGACCCCCGCGGGACTGAGTCTGGGGCACATGCTCCGAAGGCGACGCAGTGCCGGCAACATCCCGCAGCAGCAGCAGGGCCACGCGGGGCCCGCGCCGATGGTCCCGCCGACGCCGGGCGGGCGCGCGACAGCGCCGATGAATGCGGCGATTGCGAGTGGGCTTGTAGCTGCGAATGGGAATACCAACGCCAACTCGACTACGAATACGAATGCCAATACAGGCGGTGGAAATGGCCCCTCACACCGCATCCGCCTCGTCCCGCACCTCGACTCCCGCAGGTCCCTCCGCTTCGATGCCATCTCGCGCGACCTCCGCGCAGGCGAGCCTGCCCTGCGCATCGGGCGCTTCACGGACAGGTCGGGTCTTGGGCTCGCGGCGGTGAACGCGCTGAGCATGAACAAGATTGCATTCAAGAGCAAGGTTGTGAGCCGCGCCATGCGGAGGTGTGGATCGAGGATCCTGGTGCAAGTGGGGAGGAGGAGGCGTACCGAAGTTCTTCATACGCCAGTCCTCATCCTCGTCTTCGTCCTCGCCACTGCCCCCGTCGTCGTACATCCATCGACCCCGATATCCATCTCGCACGCATCATGCCACATTATTTTCGTTTCGTTTCCTCCCATCTCCCTCTCCCATATGCATACGCATACTTATACATCCACCCACCCATCCATCCATTTATCCTCGCGCATTCATCCACCCTGGTGGGTAGTAGATGGCAGCCTTCTACGACCCACGTCGTCTCTACTTACACACATCGCTCCTCCTTTCCCCTCTTCTCTTCCTCCCTTTCCCTTTACACCCTTTTGCGCCCTCCTTCTTTCCTCCTCCCTCCTTATGCTCGCCAACACCCACTGACGACCACCCACAGGCCTCTTCCTCGCCTCTATCCGCTAGGCACTCTTCATCACGCCCTACTCGCACGCATTCCACTACAAGTGTCTGCGCCTGCATCATCCGAGGTTCAGGTGGGTTCTTCAGTTCTGCGACACTTCTGTTTGGCGTTGGGGCTTTTTGGGGGAGATTTTGGGTTTCTTTGGTTTGTTTTTTGGCGGGGGAGAGGGGAGGGGACGGATGGGGAGCGGACGTCGCGAGGAGAGACAGATGAGACGGACGAGGCTGCGTTGCGTTGCAGGGATGGGCGGGGACTCCCGCTGCGCATTGCAGGTGAAAAGCGGCAGCGCGAGCGTGCAGAGGAAGAGAGCCTGGGCCGAGTACGCATCCGGTGTGGGGAGACGCACGAGCCGCGCGACCTGAGCTAGTAGCAGGCGGTTCCCGTGGAAGAGAGCGTGATGGGTGGCTGTCGGGCCTGGATGTGCTCGTCGCGTTTGTGCGAGGAGTCTGCCGGGATACGCGCGCTGCGCATTGCCAGGCAAAGCGCGGAGGCGGGGGTGGGTGTCCTCGTCCTCCTCGCATGTTCGTTGTGCTGGACGGAGGGCGTCTCGGAGGGTACACGACAAGGATGTGGAGGACGTAGAGGCGGAGGTGGGTATCCTCTTCCTCTTCCGCGACGCGTACGTGACGTGTACGTGGAGGACCTCCATGCACAGGAGGTGTAGACGGCGTGGAGGGAGTACACTGACGATGCGTGTTGTTACGACGGCGGGGGCGGGGGTCGCTTGTCATGGTTCGTTGTATGGCGTAGTATGTACACACATTCAACCAATGCACATTTATTCATGCCCTGCAAGATCAGCTTGCTTGCCTGCCCAGAACTCCAACCGAAATGTATGATATTTATTCGGCCTAGGTTGGGGCAGGAGAAGCCCTTGTGTATCGTGGTGATCACCCACACTCATTACTCGTAAGTCAGGTATAGGGATCATAACGTGGGCAGCGGGGTTTGACTCCCCCCGAGGGTGCACACACTGTAGAAAGTGTACTGTTTTTTTCTTCTTCTTCTCTTACTCTTTTTCGAGCGGAAATTGAGAGAATTACACTGCATCTGATTATATCCCGTTGATCTAGCGCCGTTGAATTCCGCACCAGAAAAGCCATGGCGGGAGGGCAAATATATATCTTTCTGAGGCGATTCGAGTTTAGATGGTCTTGCCTGTGCAGAAACAGCCATAAATATATACCCTTATCCAACCCCTAGTCTCCAGGTATAAGTCCTCGTCGATCACGGTGATCACCTACAACTTTTCAGGCAATTCTCGTAAGATCAAATGGGAGGCGGGGCTTCGACTCCCCCCGAGGGCATAGGGCTTTCTCTCACATGTTTCTTTTTCTTTTACTCTGTTGCTCGTTTTCGTGGCTATTGAACGCATTTTATATCGCGTTTGGTATGGTTGGACTTCGCATTAGTGACCACAAGTGGGAATATTTCGTGACACACTTCAGACTTGGATGGATTGCGGCCGCAATCCAGCAAAACTATACGGTATTTATACAGCCTGAATTGAAGGAGGATAAGCCCTCGTCGATCGCGGCGATCGCCCACCTTCATATGCGCAAAATGAGAGTGGCATGTAAGTGGACACTGGGGTTCGATTTCCCTCGAGGGCACTGCCGATATGGGGATGTATTTTTCATTCTACTTCACTATTTTTTGCTCTATAAAAATATAATGAATGGAGAATGAATAGAATCCGTGAGGTGTAGAGCAACGAGCGAAGACAACTACAAGTTGAATGGGTTGCGGACTCAGAGTTGGAGCACAGCCGCTGATTGAGAGCGGCTTGAAAACGGCACAATGTGGTGCCAAAAGAAATTTGTCCCTAGTAAGTTACGGGAATGATGCAAAGATTGAAAGGAGAATCTCGCGCACAGTTCGAAATTTTTTTGACGATTTTTACGTTGCAATTTGAGAGTCGCCGGTGTGGGAAGACGATGGGAAATCTTGATGGGGATGGCAAAGCATCGTAGCAAAGAACCAACAAAGAACCACGATGAAAACTCGCTGCTAGTATGCACACTCATTTCAACTTCAACTTCAACCTGCAGCAATGTCCTACAACTCCGAATCCACCATCGCCCGGTCCCTCCTCGCCCTCACCACCTCCTTCTCCACCTCCGCTAACTACAGCCCCCGGCGCCGCCAACGCCACGCGCGTGGGCCCGCGGTTTGAGGGTAAGTGCTCTACATTATTTTATACCTTTATTCCATCTGTCTGCGTTCTTTTAACACTCCCGGAGATGATTCGCCGCAGCTATGGGCGCATGCTTGTTCCGTG